AGTGGAGACAACTCTAAAATGGGAGATTGGCATTGGGATCAAGAGAGTGGACTTTGGTGTCATATAACCTGGGTTTAAATCCTGTGTTCCACGTCTGGATGACAACAGACAAGTCCTTTAACCTCTCTAAGTCTCAGTGTTCTCATTATGAAAATGGAGTTCTGAAGGGTACCTGCCTCCTAGCATGGCTGTGATGGTTAGATGAGATAAGCCATACTCACAGTGCTTATTACACAGGGACTGGGGCATGCAAGGGCTGCATAAATGTTGGCTTATATTTGTCATCGGAGCTGGTGGAGAGGACTGCTGCCTCCCTCTGAATGTACTTGTTCCCAGCCTGGGAAGCCTGCTGTTCCAAAGGCCCATCTGACCCACTGTACCAGAAAGGGTGCTCTTGCAGGGAAAGACACACCTGTGTCTCCAATTGGTTTCCACACTCACCTCCAAGTGCAAAATGCAGCTGCACGTGTGCAGAAAAGTAGGCCTTGCCGTGAGTTTGACCTCACTGGCCAGGAGAGAGGGACCTCCATTCTTTCAGAGCCCCATTGGGGGTTACCTTAGCTTGTTCTCACTCTTTGTCTTGCTCTGAGGATGCCAGGACTTTGGGGACATTGTCAGTGAGCATGTCAAGTTGGCTCTGCAATGTTAAAGCCAGGACAGAAAGAAGACCCAACCATCCCACTTAGTCAAGGAAAAACAATCTCAGAATAAAACATTTTTAAAGATTAAAATACTAGCTACCATCTGTTGAACACTTGCTATGTGTCAGGACTGGCATGAAACATTTTCCATGCACTACCTTAATCCCCCAAAGCACCGTGAAGTAGGTATTATGGTTATTTGAACACAGGTTTATTTGAGGGAAAAAAATATAATAATCATTCTAATTTTTGATTTAATTACCCCCAAATTCAGAGTTGGATCAACCCACCCTAACAGGTAGAGTACCAGGAGCTTCATGCATAGGGACAACTTTGGCTTTTAAAATGCCCTGCAGGCTGCCTGGGCTGTTTTCCATCAGCTCCTGAGCTGCCACTCTCTCTGGAGGCAGCGTTTTCTGGGTAATTACAATGAAAGACCCAATTGTCTGTCCTGCTCATTTTTCCTCCTTTCCTCTATTTACTATAATCGGGAAGTCATGTTTTTCATTTAGGGTAAGGCAATTACTCCACTGTTGACTGAAGACTAGCAAAAAGCAAATGGAGCCTCATTTCTACATTCATGTAATGGGGACAGGACTGAGAAGTGGCCTGACTTCCCGGGTCTCACCCGCTCTCCTCTAGATCTGTATCTTCTCTGACAAAAGCATCAACCGCAATAGCAACAGCCCAAATGGCACTGATGGAGTAAATGTGGTTGCTCTCCCTCATCTGGGAAATGATGAGAAAAAGTCGCCATCTGCTTCCCTGCGCTCTGCTACGGTGTGGTACAATTACCACCCTGCCCCATCCTCAGAAGCAGTGGACTAAACATGAAAGGGACTTGTTTTTTGTGCTCCGACTCAGTAGACAAGCCACTCTTTGCAAAGGGAAATGAAAAAGATTGACCACATCAGCCAGGTGCAGTGGCTCATGCCTGTAATCCTAGCACTCTGGAAGGCTGAGGCAGGAGGATTTGCTTAAGGTCAGGAGTTCAAGACCAGCCTGAGCAAGAGTGAGACCCCGTCTCTACTAAAAATAGAAAAATTGGCTGGGCCTGGTGGTGCGTGCTTATTGTCCCAGCTACTTGGGAGGATTGCTTGAGCCCCGGAGTTGGAGGTTACAGTGAACTATGATGATGTCACTGCACTCTAGCCCAGGGTGACAAGAGTGAGACTCTGTCTCAATTGAAAAAAAATAAAAAAAGATAGACCACATCTCTTTGATGATTTGAGGTCCAGGTTAACTGTGGTATAATTAAGCAAACAGCAAACAAAAAAGTTCCAAATTTCTTTCAGGGAAAGAATCTCAATTATCTGGCCTACTTTGTGCTATGTGAACATTTCTGAGAGCCTTCAAGAGCCCAAGGAAACAGTGGGCCTCCATGCTTAGGCCATGGACAGGGGTGAAGAGAACATTCTGTTCCACTCCTCCAGCTCTGCCTTAGAAACCCAAGCTCTGCACTCCCGGTTGCCTGGCATGGTAAACTAGCAATCTTCTGCCAAAAGCATCAGCCAAAATCTATTCTATTTCAGTTCTTCTCCTTTCATCAGCTTATATTTTTCCAGGCACCTGCTGATTCCCACACTACCCCTCAGATTCACTTACTGCCATGGTCTGAATGTGTGTGGTCCCCCAAAATTCATAGGTGGAAAATTAATCTCCAATGTGATAGTACTAAGGGGTGAGACCTTTGGGGAAATAAGGGTGGAGCCCTCATGAATGGGATTAGAGCCCTTATAATGACAGTCCTGGCCAGCCCTTCCACCTCTCCTGCCCTGTGAGGACACGGCATTTGTCCCTTTTGCCCTTCCGTCGTGTGGGGACACGACAAGAGGGCACCATCTTGGAGGCAGACAGCAGTCCTCACCAGACACAAAATCTTGACCTTGGACTTCCCAAGACTCCAGAACTATGAGAAATAAATTTATGTTGTTTATAAATTACCCAGTCTAGGTATTTTATTATAGCACTGGGAATTGGCTAAGACGCATGCTGTCAAAATCCTCATGCAATAAAGGTGAAGATACAATGAGAGACAGAGCTGACCCACGGACATGGAACCACTGGTCTTTTTTTTCCCCGAGACAGAGTCTCACTCTGTTGCCAAGGCTAGAGTGCTGTGGTGTCAGCCTAGCTCACAGCAACCTCAAACTCCTGGGCTCGAGTGATCCTCCTGCCTCAGCCTCCCAAGTAGCTCGGGCTACAGGCATGCACCACCAGGCCCGGCTAATTTTTTCTGTATCTTTTTAGTTGGCCAATTAATTTCTTTCTATTTTTTAGTAGAGACCGGGTCTTGCCCTTGCTCAGGCTGGTTTTGAACTTCTGACATTGAGCGATCCTCCCACCTTGGCTCCCCAGAGTGCTAGGATTACAGGTGTGAGCCACTGCGCCTGGCCAGAACCAATGGTCTTAATCTGCACTGCAAAATGCACTATTTCAATCTATAGAAAATGCTCTTTCTCTGAGGTTGGAAAGAAGTTATGATCTACTTTTCCTTTTTTCTAAAGAGAAGGGTCCATGTTTATGGACTAAGAGATCTAGGCTCCAATCTTTCTCTTCCTGACAACCTTTGGCAAATTACTCAAACTTTCTTTGTTCCAGGTGAAGAGAAAGTGCAGAGGACAATCTTATTAATTTGCACAGTGTCCAGTTAGAAAAAGTAGATAATCATGACTCTAAAGGTCTTTAAAAATATATAATGATATGTGGATGTTTTGTCAAAATCTTCCCTGCGTTTTCAGAATTCTCTTTGGAATTAGTCCTGTAAGAATATGCCTTTCTAGGCCGGGCGCTGTGGCTCACGCCTGTAATCCTAGCTCTTGGGAGGCCGAGGCGGGCGGATTGCTCAAGGTCAGGAGTTCAAAACCAGCCTGAAATAGAAAGAAATTAATTGGCCAACTGATATATATATAAAAAATTAGCCGGGCATGGTGGCGCATGCCTGTAGTCCCAGCTACTCGGGAGGCTGAGGCAGAAGGATCACTCAAGCCCAGGAGTTTGAGGTTGCTGTGAGCTAGGCTGACGCCACGGCACTCACTCTAGCCTGGACAACAAAGCGAGACTCTGTCTCAAAAAAAAAAAAAAAAAAAAAGAATATGCCTTTCTGGATCTATACTCACTTCTAATTCAGTCTCCTTTTCTTCTAACTATTACACTCTACAATTTGAAGCTGTTCTGTTCTTTAAAAAAAAATACCCAAATATCTCATGATTACCAGATTTTCCTCACGGGGCTATTTCCAGTAGAATGTGGCTCATATCCTCTATGAGAGAACAAATTGGTTATTCATTACATCTTATCAATGAGCTAGTACTACACCAGAAAGAAATATAGAAATCAGAAACTGGGAAACATCAGAAACTGCTTTGTCCTGTGTTTTAATGTGGGGTATGATAAAGTGCCACAGAACATTAATCCAGGCACTGAGATAGGTTCTAAAGAGTTTTATAGTCATTGAAAGAACGGGCTGAATCTCTCTGGAATTAACCCAAAGGAAATGGGCCTCTCTTCTCCTGAGAACTATTTGTTCTGAAGATTAGTAGAGGGAGAATTAACTCCACAGTATTTAGTTCTACATTGAAATTTCATTTCCCATAGAAATATTTTGTTGTAACATATCTAATTGCTTCCTTTTTGTTGTTTTGCAAAATTCCCATTTTCACCTTTTCTAACTTCTTAAATCAAATCAAAAACTCATTTATCCTCTTGTTGTTTTAATATTTCAGTTTCCCTTTCCTGTTTTCACTCTGTTTGAGATAGTGTTTACCCCATCTGTTTGCATCACCTTAATTCCAGGAATACCATTTTTCTAGGGGATGCAGTCATTCTTCAAAGGCAAAAGATGCAAGAAGGGGCTCATGTCAAATGACACTTTCTGACTTTTCCCCCAGATGTGGGCAGTGGAATCAGATTTCGTGCTTTGGGTTGCTAACTCTGAGCTCTCTTCCTTCACAATTAAATTGTGATTTGTAGATCAATGAGGATGTGTCAGCTAGCCAAGATTGGGGACCTGGAGGGATGCTCAGTAGAAATTGCTTTAAAATCCTCCATAGGGGCTGGGTGCGGTGGCTCACGCCTGTAATCCTAGCTCTCTGGGAGGCCGAGGTGGGAGGATTGCTCAAGGTCAGGAATTCGAAACCAGCCTGAGGAAGAGCAAGACCCCGTCTCTACTATAAATAGAAAGAAATTAATTTGCCAACTGAAAATATAGAAAATATTAGCCGAGTATAGTGGCATGTGCCTATGTAGTTCCAGCTACTCAGGAGGCTGAGGCAGAAGGATTGCTTGAGCCCAGGATTTTGAGGTTGCTGTGAGCTAGGCTGACACCATGGCACTCTAGCCCGGGCAACAGAGTGAGACTGTCTAAAAAAAATAAAATAAAAAAAAATAATACAAAATAAATAAAATCCTCCATAGGAAGGGCACCTGGGCCCTAGTTCTGGAGCAGAGGGGATACTTGCTGAGATTTGGCATTTGGGACTAAATAAATTTACCTATGGTCTACACCCCATTGGCCAGAATTATTGTGACTATTGTTCTCCATTTATACTACTTTTTCACTTGGAAACATTGGAACTTGTAAGGCAGTGAATCTATCTTTACTCCTTTTCAGATGACTGGTTCTGAAGGCCTTCTGTCCCATCTTACTGAAGGTCTCCTTTCTCCAGCTCACAATAGTTGTTGGATAGAGCCCAGAGATGCTGGGCCACAGAAATGGAACTTTGGAGGTGGCAGCCCTCTGCTCTGGTTTCCTTAGAAACTAGGGGTGGTACCTGCCACAGGGGGTCTTAAAGCCACAGATACATTATTTCGAAAATCCCATCTTGTAACAATTGCCACTGTGCAATAGTTTCTGCAGGCATAATTTGCTTCATTTCTCTGGATGGCTTTGGCCAAGGCTTTCCAATTCCCTGTTGCAAACTCTCCCTTTAGATGGATTCTTTTTCCGTTGCTTTCAAACTTGATGGAAAACGATGACCAAGTCATGCCAGTGAAGCTATAGATTCTGAACAGGTGGTTCAAGATAATTTACTATGTTTATTACATTTTACATATTTACATTTAATTTATCAAAGTTCATTACATTTATTATGTTGATTCCTAAAGGCTTAGGAGAAAATTCAATCCCAACTAGAAAGTTGTAATTAACAGAGCGAATAGTCAGAGGCCCAGAGCTCCGGCTGAAACTTCAGCTCTGCCAGAGATAACAGTTACCCTGTGACTTCGGGCAATTCGACAAACTTTTCTAAACTATGATTTCCTAGTTGGTAATATCAAAGGTGGGGTCAGCTGCTTTCTAAGTTTTTCTGGGTTCAAAAATTCTCTAAATCTATTCTGTGAAAAAATAGTACATTGCCCTGTCAGTAATGATCATGCATTAATAGGAATTGGTGGGAAGAAATTTTATTTGCAGGAAGGTTGTTAGCAGTAATACCATAAAAGAAGGAAAAGGAAAGGAGGGAAAAGAAAAGAGACTACCATTTACCAAACTTCTGCAGTGTGCTAATGAAATTCACAAACATTATCTCATGTGAAAACACCTAATAATTTTAGGGATTTCCTCTTTAAGGAAGAGAGGCCATTTGGCTCCTTGGCCCCCACAAGTGTGGTGACAGAAACATTGATTGAATGCTTTCTATGTGCCAGGCACTCTTCTAAGCACTTTACACATACTGATGCAATTAATTGTAATTTCCATTTACAAATGAGGAAACTGAGGCACACAGAGGTTAAGTAACCTGCCCAAGGCCATCCACTTAAGTGGCAAAGCCAACATTCAAACTCAGAAAGTTAGGCTCCAGACCCACCCTCTCACCCACATCCCCACCTTGCCTCTTGTCATTTTTTATTTTTTCATTGAGCAAATATTTGATGAGCACCAACTCTATGAAGGCACGGAATTAATCCCTTTTGAGGATTCCAAGCTGAATGGAACAATGTTCTTGTCCTTGAAAAGCTTAAAATATACAAGATAGATGCTCGGAAATGTTTGCAGAATGAGTGACCACACTCAACCTAAGCCAGGTGGCACTTGTCAGCCATCTCCTGCACTCCGGAAATGTTCCTTATTCCACTCAAATCAGTAGACAGTGCCTGGCAAGAGGGATTCTACACTGGACCCCTGCTCCAGAGGCCCTAGTCTGGTTCTGCAGCCCTGGTCAGGGAATCCAGGGGCCATAGAATGAGTCCACCTGGAGCCTGAGTCCCAGCCTCTTCTAACTTCCCTGCTAGGTACCTGAGACCTTGAAATTCTCTTCTCCAAATGCCCCGAACCTATTTCCAGGGCTTGCATTGGACGCAAGCCCCATGAGAGCAGACTGCACCATCCAGGCACAGACTCCTCAGTCAGGTGAACGGCCAAGGGCAAGTATTTGTGGAAGGGGAGTGTGGACAGAACTTGGACTTGTGGGCCCACAAGGACACGTGCCCATGAGGAACAGGGCTGCACTGCAGGTAGAAAAGGCTGCACTGGGTGGGCCGACTCTGCCTGTTTTGCCATGCTCAGTGCAGAACTCCAAAGAGTCAGAGAACTTCACATTACAACCTGACCTTTCAGGTCGTTATGAAGACAACTTGTCTAACCAAGAGGATAGAACATATTTTACTTAAGCTGGCCAACTTGGTTTACAGCTTTTACAATGTAGACATATGGCATGTGGGTTTCCATTTGTACTCTTGTCTAGGCCCCTAGGGCCTGTCCCCAGGTATTGAATGATCTCAGCACTTTTAGGGCTCCTTCTTCATGGGGTTTCAAATTCCCACAGCTGCTATTTCTAACCATCGCTCCCTCTTCTCCCAGCTTTTTGGCCCAAGGGGCCCCACAGGCTCCTTGACCTCCTGGGTACCTCAGGGTCATGAATTTCATGACGTCCTTCTCCTCCATCAGCTCCCTGCACCTGGTCTGAGTTCCACAGCCACATTCCTGTCCCTTTCTCGCTCCTCTGTCTTTGCACATTACCTTCTCCTGTCATGGGCGGCACCTGGGTAGCTTGCACCTGGGTGGCTGAGAAGTTGCCACTGTTGGCAGAATAAAGTCACCAGCCTCCACTGGACTTGCACTGCACCCTAAGACTTAGAGCTTCATCTGCTAATCTCTGCAATAATGGTTGGATCCTTCTCCACCACCTCAAATCTCTGAAATCCCTTCCCCACCTCACTGCCAATAGCTAACTTTGCTTCTTACTTCTCAGAAAACATAAAACCCAATCCTTTGGAAAAGGCTCAATGTCCTGGTTGTAAATCTGCACACCTCCAGGCAGCCTCACTGCAGCCCCCTCCTGTGCGGGTCACTATGGAGCAGGCAGAGGGGCACTTCTGCCCCTCTCCCCCTCCTACCTCTGTGGCTCAGCATCCTCGACCCCTCCCTCCGCCCTAAACACGCTCTAGTTTCTGCAGTTTGAAAACACAAACTCCTTCCTTGAACTTTCCCTCCAGCTGATTCCTCCCCCTGCCCTTCACTCTCTACTCCAATGCGGCCTCCACTCCCCACATCCCACTAGAACCTGGCCTCCCTGGTGTTGGATCCCACCGAGCACTTTTCAGTCCCCAAGTTAGGCGATCTGCATCATGTACATGTGCCTGAAACTCTTCTCTTGCAGGGTTTTCTGCATGCCATTCTCCTGGCTTTCCTCTGACAGCTAAGCCTCAATTCCCTTTTCTGGCTCTTTTCCCTCCACTCAGTCTCTGAATGATGGATGTCCCCTGAGCTTGATCCCAGCCTTTGTCCCTTCTTACATGCTGGCCCTAGGCTGTCACTCCCTCCTGCAGGCCCAGCCCACACTGCTTTTCGAGCACCAGCTTTAGATTTCTCTACCTACCTACTTGACATTGTCCTTATTCAGATGTCACTTGGGCAGCCCAAAGTCAACTTAATGAGAATTTAACTGCGCCCTCTCCCTGTCCTGCCTGTGATGATGCCACATTCTTCTGACAGTCCCTCTTTTCTTCCGAAGCACTCTAGTTCCACCTTATTTCCACTCTCCTCCTTCCAGAGCCTCTGGAAGTGCAACTGTCGGAGGCTCCAGTCCACAACGGGTGCTGAAGCATCTTGGAACGAATCAGAAATGGAGGCTGGTTTGCCCAGGTTTCCACTCCTGTCTCCTGTAACTGGCTAAATGGCAACGAGTCGCATTCCCTGTTGGTATATATTAAATAACGTATTTTGAATTTGGATATGTGACAAGAAAAAAAATGATAATTTACTCCTCTCCACTGCCTGCTAACAGAGGATCTTTCAATGCTGAATGTGGATGATATCTTCATCCTTCAAGGCTCTGACATACCTGAAGACCGTGGTAAGCAGCAGTTGGAATCTCAGACTTGGGGTCAGATGCTGAGACAGAGGTACATTGCTAGAGGTTGTGCCGGAGAGGGGTAGGCACGAGCTGGGAAGTTGAGCACTGGAAAACAAAAGCAGGAAAAGCCAAGATATTTGGGAAAAGACTTTCTTTCTTTCTTTCTTTCTTTCTTTCTTTCTTTCTTTCTTTCTTTCTTTCTTTCTTTCTTTTCTTTCCTCCTCTCTCTCTCTCTTTCTTTTTGAGACAGAGTCTTGCTCTGTCACCCAGGCTAGAGTGCAGTGGCATCATCATAGTTCACTACAACCTCAAGCTCCTGGGCTCAAGTCATCCTCCTGCCTCAGCTTCCCGACTAGTTGGGAATATAGGTGCACGCCACCATGGCTGGCTAATTTTTCTATTTGGTAGAGATGGTGTCTCACTCTTGTTCAGCCTGTCTTGAACTTCTGGCCTCAAGCAATCCTCCCACCCCTCAGCCTCCCCAAATGCTAGGATTACAGGCATGAACCACTGCATCCTGCAAAAGACATTCTTTTCAGATGTCTTTTAAATGCTGATTTCTCCTAAATTTAATTTTCTAGCTGAGACCTCTCTCTTGAGTTCCAGTCATGGAGCCATGTGATAATGAAAGCTAGCATTTATAAAGCGACTCTTACCATGTCCTAGTTAGCTAAGCTAAGTGCTTCACTTGAGTTATGTCTCACAGGCATTTCAAATCCAACCAAAACAGTATTCCTCCTCTACCTGCCTTTCCCAGACCTCTCCACCCCACCATGTTCACCTCCAGTATTCCCTTCCCCAGTGATGAATTGGCAACCCTGTCCCCAAACTCCGAGAATCCTCCATCATTGCTTCTGTCTGGGAACCGCCTAATACCCTCTAGAAACTACTCTGGCCTCTCTGCCCACCCATTCTCCATCTGCCTTCAGAGTAACTGTTTCCTGAAGCAGATCTGTTGCTGGGAGTGCAAGGCTTAAAGCCCTCCAATGCTGCCTGCTGCTTTTAGGATAAAGTCCAAATCCCTTTCTGTGGTCCTCTCCACCCACCTCTGGCCCCAGCCTACTCCTGCGCCTCATCTCATGTTTACCTTGTTTCTTTTGCATGCCAAGCTCCAACTCCAGGACTTTCTTTCATTTTCTAGAACATCCCAGTGTTAAGGTGCGAAGTCCATACATGGGAGGAGAAAGAATTCTCAGTGATTAGGATATACAAACGTTTATTTATTTTCCTGAAAAAGAGAGAAACAACAGAGAGAGAAAGAAAGAAAGAAAAAGAAAGAAAGAGAGAGTGGCCACGACACACAGAGGGAGGAAAGAAAGGCCAGGCTGCGAGGAAAGTTGCTTGGTGTTTTTAAAGGATAGAAATGTTTTTTTTTCCCCTCTCTCTGCTTCTGGGGACTGATAACAAAAGCTGTTGTGAAGCTGCTGTGTTGGCTTTTTCTGTTTCTCACGCAGCAGATTGATAGCAGAATTAGTTTCGTAGTTTCTTCTTTCTTCTCCACAGCGGGAGGCATCTGTCTCTTCCTGAGGAAGCAGGGGAAGTTCTCAGTCCCACTGTCTGCTCAGAAGCTTTTTCAAGGCTGAGAAAGAACTCAGAGATAACCAGTTAGGCCACTCGTGTTTTAATTAAACAAAGGGTAGTTGTGTTGTGAGTTTGTTTCTCTTACTTTCTGTTTGATAGTTTATTTTCCGTTGTTAGATAGGCTATTAGGAAGATCACCTTTCACCCAGCACCTTCCAACTCAGGCACTCTTTCTGGCCTGACTGCTCTTTGGGTGGTGACATTACAAAGCAGCTGGCTATGAAAAGGGCACTTTGCCACAGAATTGAGGGAAGCCCAGGCTCCATTACAGATATCAAGTATTCTCTCTTCCTGACAGCTGTTCTTCTCCAACCAAAATATTCAGGGGGGGAGAAAAAGGGGCACAGGGCATCTGAGTTTCAAAGGACTAGGGAAGCTACCGCTTCCTGGATAACCGCACCCCCCCCCCCCACAGGCTGGGATGAGGTGGAAGAGGCCTGCCAGGGACTTAGTCTTGGCTCTGTGAGTCTCTGCTCCCTCCTGCCCATGGACTCTGGTTGGTGCCTTCCAGAGGCACGTCCAACAGCTCCTCCCTAACCTGAATCCTCTTTAGCCCAAATTGCAATGATTAAAGCAAACTGAGTTACTACAAAAAGATACTTCATGATTCATTTAGTGGGCATTTATTGAGGGCCTACTATGTGCCAGGCTTATCTATTGGATGCTACATAGTAAAGTTTATAGACAATGTACATTCTATACATTATACAGGATATAATGAGTACCATACTGATATTCTCTACCCTTTGTATCTTTATTAAACATTACACACTACAGTCTATATACAATGGATAATATACATGAGTATTATGTATACTAAAACAGTGGTTTGCCATATTTAGTAAACATACATTGAATGAATATAATACTTATTCAACACCATATTATATTCTAGCAGAGCCTGGTTATTGAAGATTTACTCTTCCAAACTCTTCCCTTTTCCTAGCCCTGTCTTTAGGGGTGTTTTCCTTCTTTTACCACCTGTTGTGGGTTCTTGGCATAGGTAAATTCACTGGCCTGCCCAAGTTTGAATTCTAGGTCTGAACACACAGAGACCTAAGTGTGCCCCAGGGAAAGAAAGGCTGACAACCCGGCAGTGGAGCCCTGGGATGCCAAGGCCACCCCTGTACTTACAGGAAAGTCCGCCAAGCCTCCAAGCCCCACCCAGAGAGGGTATCTGGGATGCTGCCAGGTTCCTGGTGATCTTTGGCTTTCTGGAGAACAAAGTTCAGAGGCTCATGAAGCCCCAGCCCTGGAAGGGGTGTTAGTGACAGAGGGCCTAGCCCAGCTCTCTCCGAAATCATAGGCCCTACTCCCTACTACCCAGATCAGATAAGACAGGCATGGCCTCTGACTGCTCCTTGATTCTTAGGGGCAACACTTCCTCCCCAGTTTTACCAGGTTGTCCCCAACAACCCCAGCTCCATCGCTTTTGGAACAGGTGGCCAGAAAGCTTGGGGTCCCTTTCTAAGCGTTTCAGTTCTCCCTAGGATGGATGGATGGAAGGAGGAAAGGGAGGGAGGGAGGAAAGACGGGTGAGTGGACGGATGAACGGGTGGATGGGTGGGCGAGTGGATGGGTGGATGAAGGGTAGATGGGCAAGGGACTGGAAACGGTAATCCGAGCCGGCGGACCCCGCTGCCCTCCCCCCGCTTCGGAGCAGCGGCCCCTGAGCCCAGGCCAGCGGCGGCGCACTAAGGGAGGCTGCGGGCCATCGGGGGACTCGGGCCAGGGTGGGGGCAGCTGCGAGGGCGAGGGGAGCTGAGGACCGACCGAGAGGTGGGGAGGGGGAGGGCCTTGGAGGCGGAGAGGAGCGGCGGGCGGGGAGAGGACCCGCCGAGGGGCGGCGGGCGCGGCGGGAGCTCGGCGCCGGCGGCAGCGCGGGCAGGCGCGGGGACGCAATGTCGCTGCCGCCGCCTCCTCGCGGGCCGGGGCTGCGCCGCCGGGGCTGAGCCGCCGCGGAGCCGGAGCCGAGCGGCCGCCGGGCGCGCCCGCAGCGCGGGAGGATGGGCTGCGGCGGGAGCCGGGCGGATGCCATCGAGCCCCGCTACTACGAGAGCTGGACCCGGGAGACCGAGTCCACCTGGCTCACCTACACCGACTCGGACACGCCGCCCAGCGCCGCCGGCCCGGACAGCGGCCCCGAGGCGGGCGGCCTGCACGCGGGTGAGTGAGCCCGGCTCCCGCAGAGCGGGGCCACGGCGGCGGGAGCGGGAGGGCTGGGGGCTCCGGGGACAGCACGCAGCCCATTCCCCTAAAGAATTGATGGGGCGGAGTGGGGGGAGCAGAGACAGACAGAGACCGAGACTGGACCCGCCCGCTGATGGGCAGACAGACCCGAGCACGGCGGGCCGGGTCCATGAGACTCCCTTGCAGAGGGCTGAGCTAGTCCCCTGAGCTTCGGGGAAACCCATCACTTCTTTGCCTCGGCCAATGCTTGCTCACTGGCCAGGGATGGATGGTGGGAGGACAGCCCACCTGCCCCCGCACACCTGTCCCTCAGCCACCCCACGCCCCCGATCCGCCCGGGTTCGCCTCTGCCCTGCTTTGGTCCATCTTCCCTCTGGCCACCTGCGTGGCCACCGGTCGGGTGACTTCTCCATCCACTGGCCACCTGGCATACTTCTCCCTCGATTTATAGACTAGGCGCCTGACTGGGATTGCCTGGGTGGAGTCTTCCCAGTCGCTTCCTCTTTCTACCTCTCGGAAAGGAGCCCCTTTGCGGGCTTCAAACACCAGAACCCTAGTTCAGGTCGAAACAAATGCACGCCCGCCCCATCGCTAGTTCTGCGCTTTAGCTTACTTTGCAAGCAGTTGTTCCATAGTAAAACATTTCCCTTCCCAATCCTGGTGCCTTAGTGCTGTAAATGAGGCAGGGCATAAAAGTGGGTTTTGACTATAAATTAAATACTCTTACCTGGGTCATTCCCCACCTGGCAGAAATCTGAAAGAAGGAGATGCAAAGAACTTTCTGGTCCAGTCACAGCTCAGGATTTTTTTTTCTTTTTGAAAGCAGACACTAATAATTATGGCATAGAGATGAAAAATGTGCCCGTAGACTGACTATAGACATGTTGGTGACATTAAGAGAAAAAAAAGTCACTACTTATTACAGGGATGTTGTCAAAAGCTATATCAATATTTGGATAAAAATGTTTTAACTGTTTCCCGACCTCTTTATGTTGTCTGCATTTTTGAATAATGAAATCTAAAACAGAAAATAAGTTAGATTTGAAGCACAATGTTTATTATATGGAGGAAGAAAGAAATGTGAAGTACTTTTAAAAGATTAATGATCCTAATCCATGACTCCTCAATAAGAGCTATCACTGTAATCCTGAGAATAGGTTTATCCATTTTCTAGGACCAAAGCTGGCTTCTTTTTCACATGAACTTTGTGACTTGCTTTTTAAAAAAATTGAGACTTGTCTGTGAAAGCTGTGCAGGGCGTAACAGTGTATTTGTTGCTAATTTTTCTGATTCATGAAGGCAATCATATTGGTTATTTTGTGTTGCTGATGCTTTCAGAAAGTTACCAAGTGATGTGCTGGCTGAATTCAGTGTCAGAGTGAGGATAAGACATGGGCCTTCTAAAGGGACCTGGTAAATGCTAGATGTAACAGGTTTTCCCAGGCAGGCGTGGTACTTCTCAGCAGAGTCAAATGCCAGAGCTGCACTCCAAGGAAATAAGGGTGAAAAGATCTAGCGTGAAAAACCCCCTAAGTACAGCTTTATGGAATGGTTGCCTTGGTGACTGAGAGTATATGGGGTGTGTGTGCATATGCGTGCATGTATGTGGGTGTGAGAGTTATTATGGGATGGCTAAATATGTACATATATGTTTCTCATATCTTTTCAAACATTTAATTCATTTATCATTCTGCCATCCTAACTCATATACCCTCTATCTTGAAATCTGGTCCCTGCAACAGGTGGGGCCTGGGACAAGCACACTCAGTCATGGTCCCCCGCCAAACATGGGGCAGCCCTGCCAGGCAGGTGGTCCTGAAGACCTGCATCCTTCAGCCCTGGGACGGCACCCTGAAATCGGCAAGACTCTTATGGGCAGAGTCATTTCAATTCCTTAGAAATTCCTAGTAGTCTCAGGGAGAGGGACATTTCCAAAAATCAAGATGGAATCAAGGCTTCCCTTGGAGTGTATTGCCATTCCCTAGGGGTTTTGGAAGTGTGGCTTGATTCCCATGGATTTTTCAGATTGGGGACTGGTCATAGTCAGAATGAGTTATCTGAGAAAGCTACAAATCTCCTGGGTCTCAGCCACCCTGGGAGATTAGCCAGACTTCTTTATACTTTTCTTCTTCCCTGATCCCCCCACTTCATCCACCCTCTGCCAATGCTTTACCCATGGATTCAACACCAAGCTGCTGGAGGACACCCAGTGGCCCATGGTGGCTATGTTATGACAAGAAGCCAGAATGCCACTTTTCCCTGTTTACAGCAATCTTTTTCTGATGGGGGAGGGTAAATGAAAGAGCTGGATTCAGGAGAGTCCAGATTGTAAAATCAACAAAAAAATGTCTTTATTACTAGAATTCTAGAGCTGGAGGGGGTCTCTGGAGGTCAGTTATCCAAGACAAATGAGCCTACCAGTTGAATTGTCTCAGTGTGGAAACTTCCTCAACCACTTCGCAGCTCTCACCCTCATTCCCTCAGTCTCAAAAATCCTTTCTTTTGGGACCCTGGTCACTCCCCTTTAGTGTCAAATCGAAGCCACCTTTTCTCCTGGCTACCTCATCCTCGGGACCTTTAAGGGCAGGAAGTGAACCTAATTCATTTTTGCCTCTTTTGTGCTGAGTACACTCTGCAGCACATGTGTGATGCAAGGTTGAGGCTTAATGACAGTTTTCTGAATGGACACTCTGCCTGCACCTGCCCTCCATTCCTGTCAGCTCTTCCTAGACTCCCCTTTTCTTTTCTCTTCCTTGCCGTCCTTGCTATTGATGTTTTCCCACTTGAATCAGTTTAACCTAGATTCTCTGCAGTGCCTTTCTGATCCCATAACTTCTCTTTTAAAATCCCCCCTAACTTTACTCCATTGAAACATTTGGCCTGGCCCAAAGATTCCATTTGTTTTGTGGCTGCCCCACATCTCAACTCCATAACCACATCTACCAAAAAGCCCCATTTAAGCATACCTGCTTTTTTTTTTTTTTTTTTTTTTTTTGAGACAGAGTCTCGCTTTGTTGTCCAGGCTAGAGTGAGTGCCATGGCGTCAGCCTAGCTTACAGCAACCTCAAACTGGGCTGGAGTGATCCTTCTGCCTCAGCCTCCCGGGTAGCTGGGACTACAGGCATGCGCCACCATGCCCGGCTAATTTTTTTTTATATATATATCAGTTGGCCAATTAATTTCTTTCTATTTATAGTAGAGACGGGGTCTCGCTCTTGCTCAGGCTGGTTTTGAACTCCTGACCTTGAGCAATCCGCCCGCCTCGGCCTCCCAAGAGCTAGGATTACAGGCGTGAGCCACAGCGCCCGGCCAGCATACCTGCTTTTAACACATTGATTGCCACAATAGAAAAATTTTTTTTTCCTTGGGGCCACAGTGTTTTATTATGAAAATAGAATAAAAACTTCGAAAACAAAATGATCCTTTCTAATTTGATGAAAAATTTGTTATTTTTTATTGTTTCCTGTGTGTGAGTTATATGCAACTTGACAAATAGTTCTCACAGCTCCCAAGGTGAAGAGATGTGTGAGTTACAGATGCTTCACGGAGGCCCCGGGCTCAAAACTATTGTCAGTCAAATACAACTCATAATGGCAGTTAATATGTTAAATCTCACTTCAATTTCTCTTACCCCCATCCAGATTGAGGGCATGCCACATGACAGTAAATATTTGTTGAATGAATTCTGCATCTCACTGGGAGTAGGGAGGGGGTATGTTTTTCTGCCACTTTCACAAAGGGAGAGTTTCTTTCTTCTCTTCCTTACTCAAAAAGTGATCCTGAGCCTCTGGTTCTTGTTTTTGGACATCATCTCCGCCAGCCAGCAGAATTGAATTCAGTTTTTAGATTTGATTATGATGGAGGCTAGAATTTAAGACTTAGCTGAAGCCATAGTATCTGATATCAATTGCTTCCCTGAGTCACCAAAATCTGTCTCTGTCACAGAAGGAAATTAAATTGGTCTGAAATGATTTCATCCTCATAAAAATCGGTTTGCTGGATTGATTTTTACTTTTGTTGTCTGATGAGGGTCTCCAAGGAGAAAGGGAGTCTCTGAGGTTGCCATGACCCAGACTAGCTCAGCCATCCATACATTAATAACTTCCTAGTGTCACCCCGATGCAATCACAAGTCCTTTAAATTGCATCAGTAAACACCCCCTTTTGGACTGTTAGGGTTTTTTTTTTTTCTAATTTCTCTAGAGAATAAAGCATTTCAAATTTCTCTAAAGTACTTTTTTATAGTTTTAAATTGCTAAATAATTACTTTAGTATAATAGAAGTTTGCAGAATTAGAGACTCACGACAAAATGATTTGCCTAAATAAACTGAAAGATAGTGAAATAAAATGGAGAGCACTTCACATTACCATTTGCTAACATCTATTGATGATTTACAAAGGGCCTGGATGGGCACTTTATGTAAATTATCTCATTTAATCCCAACCTCCGGAATGAGGTGAGACCTATTACCATCTTCCTTTTACAAGCAAGGGAATGAGGCTTGAAGTGTGTGAGTGACTTTTGCCATTTCCGGCCTGGAATCCAGCTCAATCTGATTCCAAAGCCTGTATTTCTCAATACTGTCTTCCTGGTTAATGGGGGATTAGTTATAGATTTCTTCATTTTACAGTTTATAAGACCCGAAGTCTAATCTGATCTCTTGACAGTCTAGTTTGCTCTTGGACAGCACAGTTTTCTTTGGCACCATCCCTGAGGATGGCATATCTCTTCCCCAGGGAAGGAGGCTTTCCCACACCTTTGTGGGGCAGCTCCCCTTTGAGCCTCTTCCTGTTTCCTTGTAATTTCTACCCAGGGGTAGAAGTGCTATGAAGACAGTATTCTAGATCTTTGTTTCCCTATGTTGACAGACTAAAGATAAAAGACATTTATTTGCTCTTTTGTTCATACAGTAGACATTTGGCACAAAGATGAGTAAGCTATGTTCCCTGACCTAAAGAAGTTAATGTGATAGGGG